CTGTTGGATAGACAGCCACCAACGAGGAAGGAATTATTTAAGGAGAACAATATAGAAGAAAGGGGTGGAGATGGATTGGATTTAAGCATACCATCAGGACATCAAGTAGCGCCATAACAAAGACAGTGTTCATTTGGAATCCAAAGGTTAAAAGATCAAGGAGAAGGCAATGTGGAACCTGTAGAAAAGTCGCAGAGAATTATGAAAACTAAAGATTTGAAAGATATGAAGAAGCTAGCCTAGGAAGGGAACACTGGAAAGTAATTGTCCGTAGAGGGTGATTCAGGTGATGATGAAACTGGCATTGGGCTCTTCTAGAGCATTTTTCAAAGGGTATGTTCGGTCATAGATATCAACATACTCCTGCAAACGTTGATCTTTTAGTCATTCTGTTTCAGATAATAAACCCTAATGTGCGTTCTTCATCTGGGGGTGTCGCCTTTGCTGAACACCGTTCACATAGGTCTTTCTCTCTCCTCAAGTCTAAACAAAGACAAAGACAATTGTTCTGCCTTTGTCTTTCAATAGTGAGTAGCCATTTGATTTTGTTTAGCAATTATTGTGTTTCAGTTCATTATTTTTAAATAGTCCTATCTTTTGAATTGTACTGCTCATTGCAGGCCGCTCTCTCTCGGAGTTTTAAAAAAGAAACAACTTTTTTCTGATCACTGAGGTCAGTATTTCCATGCTGGATGTTCGGGAGCTTTCTTTGATGTCCAAAGTGATTTACATTGCTCGGCTTCGTAACATTCCTTTTCTCGTTAGGTAATTCTGATGTAAAATCAGCGAGCTTTCAATGTCAAACAAGTTGGGCTTGTGATACAGCACGGAAAAAAACTTGTAATTTATACTAAAATACTACGTTATCTTTTTGCAAATGAACAAGATCAAAATTGTGTAACCTGCTACTAAAAGGGCACACGCATTTACATTCGAATCTAAAAATAATTGTGAAACAATACCAGTCCTGCATCTATGAAACAAACATTTTAATAATGTGACAGAGACGTTTCACGCAAAACGCATGCTCTCGACGTCGTTTAAATTATAATCAAGGAGTACTGTATCTGTATAGTACTCCTTGATTATAATCTACAGCCTATGTAAACCTTTAATACTGACCGACCATTGTGTTTGCACTAAGCAATCGCCCATATTTCAATGGTCTAAAGAGGCGTCCAATGCGCCAACGGTCAG